TTCATAATTTGATAAGAACAATGATAATATTAGAGTGTATCTTTAGGAAAATGAAAAAACTCGTGTGGAGGCCCAGATAGTATGTATATTTTTACAAATATATATATAATTGATCATCTCGCTTCAAAAAACAAAGGTTATTAGTGCAAAGTGTGTTTATATATCTACCTATATATATTTTTTTTAATTTAAAAATTTTTTTCTTAAATATATTATTACTAAATTAGTCTTTATGAATTTGATTTAAAAAAAAAATATGTATATTAATTATTGTTGTTAACTTTTGTTTAGGGTCCTAGGATTTTGAAGAGATGTTCAAGTAAATTGTTTTCTTTTCTCGCGTTTTCAAATTTTGAGACAGCCTGTTAAAATATGGTTAATCGTAATTTGTGTTCCGCATGTGGTATATATTGGATGGACTTCTTAGTCATTAAAAAAAAAACCGTGTTAGCTTTGTATGGCCTATTCTTAGTCTTTTTAAAATTTAAAATTGATTCATTTTTTCTGTTGGGACTATTTGAGGACCACTAGTCGACTTATAATATACTAGTTGAATAACCCGGCTTCGCTGTACAGTTTTTTGTGTTACCTACTATTACTTTATTTTATCAGTTTTTATATTTATTATGAGCTGCTTTTAGATATGTTGATCCTAGGTTGCCCATGTATTGTATAGACATTTCTGTAAACTCTTTTAAAACTAATTAAGTTTTACAACGTCAATGTAACATTATTATATACATTATGATGTTATATAAACCAAAAAAAAAAAATATTTATATTGATATACTTTATGCATCACAATACCTCTTTATAAACAGTAGGTACCTATTTTTGGTACTGACTTATGGGGCTAAAATAACGAAACTATTGGCAGAGCTAACTCTAGAACATGTGACATAGAACTGTCCATGTGAAAAACTTTCTTCTCTCAAGTCGACCCCTGTCATGCTCAATGATTGTCTTTGAGACTTATTAATAGTCATAGCAAAGCAAACTTTGAGTGGGAATTGTATTCTTTTAAACTAAAAGCTATAACCAGTTGGAATCAACGTTATTCTCGGTATTAAAACTATATCTCCTCTTGCACACCCAGTGATAACTGTAGCTTCTATTACATTTTTGTGCTGAGCTTCAACTTGCAATCTAGTTCCATTACACAGATTTCTTAGTAACATTATAGATACTCCAATATTAAGGATAAGTGTATGTGAAGGATTCAGAGTATTAAGAACTTCTAACGGACAGCATCATCCGAATGGATCACCGAATCAAAAGATTTATATTCAACAGCTTTTTCATTAAATTCCTTTATTAGAATTTCATTGATTTCGGCGGCCTTATCGTTTTTTTGGAGTTAAGATTGCTCGCTTGCACAACAATTCGATGGGGGTTTTTTTTTTTTTAATTTGCATTTTATTGTAAAATAATTATAGCAAAGCGATTACAAAAACTCGATGGGTTTAATCCATATATTTATTATATCTAGGTGAATTCTGAAAGTTAGTTCTGATAAAGAGCAAACAACTGTACTCAAATTTTAGGGAATAGTGATCTCACCTTCCAATGAAGGGAAATTTCCGTCTCCTACTTTAAGTAACATCTCAGCGAAAATCCCAGAAGATGTGTAACCTTTCAAATGGACCCTCATATTTTTATGAAGTGCAACTTTCAGGATGTGTGACCACAAATACAAAGCTTTTAGACAGGACTTTACTTGATCAGCCCTTGTACCCCTAGGTATAACAGGTAATGTTTGCCGAAAATCTACTGCTAGCAGCACAATGACTCTACCCATCAAACTATTATATCCTCTTATATTTTTTAATGTTCTATTGAGAGCTTCAAAACCACCCTTGTGGGCCATTGTGCATTCATTTCAAACTATTAACTTACAGTCTTTTAGAACTTTTGCTAAATTACTCTGTTTGGAAATACTACACATAGGTGTCTCTATTCTCGTTAGGTTTAATGGTAATTTATATACAGAATGAGCTGTTTTACCTCTTTCTAGCAATGTAGCAGTGATGCCTGAAGAAGTTACAGCCAAAGCTATTCCATGATATTTTCGTACTCTGGCCAATAAAATATTTATGAAAAATGTTTTATCAGTGTCTCCAGGGGCGTTTAAGAAAATTGTTTGGCCAGTGTTTTTTCAATGCCCTCTAATATTTTGTTATATACATAGGACTGTTCATTATCTAGTAAAATATGTTCATTTAAATTTATATACTGTGCCAAAATATTTGAATCATAATTGATCTCTCGAAGGTAATCTTTATTTTGTAAGACTGCTTCACATCTTGATGGCTGAGGTAAACCATAATGTTGCAAAAATTTAACTTCCAGAGATAGAACAGTATCTTCAAGATTAACTAAGCATTTATTGTATACTTTATTAATAATTAAGTTCACATTCTCGTGTTGTATATTCAACTCCACTCGATGTTGTATATATTCTGAAAGACTGTCCTTATATTTTTCCCAAAGACTTAAAGCATCTGGTAATTGACAAAATATCAACATAATGTCAAAAAGGTTTTGCATAGAACTAAAACGAAATCTGTTTACGGGGTTCCTTTTTGAATCAAATTTTTCATACAGTTTATCATTGAAGTACATCTCAATAAATACCAAAAATAATTATACGGCTGCCATCAGCTCACATAAACCTCCATAAGTATTAAATTTTAACATATCATTATTCATTAAAGTAGTCGGCAGAACAACGATAATTATTTCCATTACTATCATATGACATTATTGAATAATATTCCCAGTGATTTATCATATAGGTTACTATCTTTTTACCTACTTCTTGGGCCTTATCTTGAGTGTCATATAACACAAAAGATATTTTCCTAAACAGGCAAGCTCCGTCACCAATAATTTGAATGATAGTGTGGGGCATAATTGTGCCATTTATATTCAATAATTCGACAACTATATGAATTATTTTTTTTATAAATTTGTAAGAATGTAAAAAATGTTATTTTAATACACTTAAACAACCGTACATAAACTGGGGTGCGTATACGAAGACGCGTTATTTAATAATAAAACGATAAATGTGTCAACACATAAATCAGGTTGTTATATCAACCATTTATAAACAAAAATTTTAAACAAAATTTCCACCGTAAATCTCAAAATCCCTGTTTGAGCAACCCTTTAAATTGCAAATTTTGAAAAACCCTTTCTTAGTGCGCCTCTACATTGCTTAAGGAACCTCTATACAAAATTTCAAGTCCCTAGACCCAGCGGTTTGGTTTGGGCGTTGATGAATCACCCATGACAAGTCTCTTTATACATATATATATTATACCTATATATAGATAATATATTACATATTTATAATGGAGCACGAATAATGCACAATTAAATTGATACATTGTTCATATAACATTGTTCTAAATTCGAATTTATTTATTTATTACAGAATATTTTTAAACGAATTAGGATTGGCCAATAATWACGTACAACAAATTGCTCACTGTTTCTTAAATAACCATCTTAGGTTTATTATTTATTTAACATACTGCATTAATTTTCAAAAGTAAGTTACAATAGCTAGTTAAAATACCTTACTATATAATAATGATGAAATATTAAGTAAAATAATAATATGTTGTCATTTAGTTCTGATGCCATTATATCAGAAATAACGCAAAGTTCACAGACAACCAACATCATACATCAAAGACAAAATGAATTAGGACATCGTCTTCCACTTGGATCTTATTTGGTATTGCCAGTACAGCGTATTTTAAGATACCATTTACTACTAAAGGTACATGTTGAAATTGATCTATAAATGGTGTAAATAATTTTTTAGTTAGGTACCCATTTCATAAATTAAATAAAAATAAAAATATTTATGTGGATGCATCGTGGTATGACGTGCTTCTATGAATTAAGTTTAGTTAAAAAACTAATGTTTAAATTAACAGATAATTTGTATTTTTCAAATTAATTTTGTCCATTTTATACAGTTGTTTCATAAATTTGTTAAAAATAAGTGATAACATTTTTTTTTATATTATACATTATGCAGTTTTGTATTGGAACAAAAGAACGTTATATTAAAAACGTGTACTTACTTATACAGTCCGGTCCAAACCGGCAGGGCCGTGGTGGCATATAATACTATGTTATACGACACTCCTACTTGTTTTTGAAACTCAAAAATTAAAAAAATTATATAATCAATATTTTTTTTTAGACATGGATATTTTTTTAATAACAGATAATATATTCAAATGAAGAAAAAAGATTTTAGTTTTTTTTTATTAGCTTTTAGTACATAACTATATGGTAGCTCAACAATTATCCATAGATAGCTATACAATAACAAAAAGAAAAAATAATATATAATGATAATKTAATAATAAGAGATATATAAAATATATAATATATTATACTTAATTAATATAATGCGAAATAATATAATCCAAACTAAAAAGATTTTAGTTAATTTGTTGCAACACAAAAATATTATTTGTGGGTTAGGTTARGTACCAAATACCTATTTGAAATTTTTATTTACGTGTGTTATTATAATATTTTGACATTAGGTACACTGAYATTTGTTGCCTCTGTTCTACAAGTACGTAACGTAATAGAAATTTTTACGCTCAATAATAGATTATTTTGAAAATCTTATATTCAATTCTCAAATCTTAGATATAAATAGAATATTTCTAACTYAAAATAACTTACGAAATTTCGTGATCTCGTAAAAATTGTAAACATCTTKWCTTCAGACGCTTAAAATATATATATTGTGGATTTACGTTMATTTTTTTATTAAATTTCCAAAAACAAATACTTTTGAGAAATGTTGTATTAAATTTTCAAGTTTTTTAACAAAGTGAAAACAATTAAAACAATTGCATGTATGGATAATTATTTTTTTTTAAACTAATACAAATTTAAATTGTCTATATAAATAGCTCAAAAGAGTTTTGAAAATATTTTAAAGCATTTTGAAAATTTAATTGTGTATAGAAAATGTTAACAAAYATTGGATGAAATTTTCTTGTGCCTATTTATCTATACAGGACGGTTAATTTTTTTAGAGTTAGGTACCTATACACCAAATAATAAAACTGATTTTTTAGAAAAYTAGTTTTGTGTTAAAATCTCTTCTTTTCCTAATTTTATTTTTATTTTTCTTGACCTCTGAAAACTATACTTTGAAATTTTCACTTTTATCTCTCTTCCTTCTACTAATATCCTTCCTCTAAGTATCAACTAGATTAAATTTTCTATCAGAACATATGCT